TCATATCCCCAGGCTTTGTACTTCCAGCTTCGTACCAACCGAGAGGATCTTCTTGTTATAAAGAAGAATCAAGAAGCCCGAGACAGAACAGCACGACAACGCGCACAATCTGTGGCATCCAATGGAAAGGCGAGCGCATCACCATCCATGACAAAGCAGGACCCCCCCAGGCCTGGTACAGCATCATCACGACCAGGCACTGCAAATGCGGCTGATGGTACCCCAGTCAAGGCGGAGGGAGAAGCGAACGGCAGCAACGCCACAGGCACTCCCGCGCCTACGAACGGGCAAACACCCGATCCTTCGAAGGCTGCACAAAAGGCCACCCCTCAACCTGGACAGCCAGGGCAGCCTCAGAAGAAGCCTCCGTGGGATTACACCGAAGAAGTCATGTCAGTCCTCAAGACTGCTTTCCCTCTGCTGGCCCTTTCAATGGAGACTATGGTAGACCAGATCCAGAAGAACTTCAAGTGTCCCCCTGATGAAGACGCATACCGGCTAATTGTTGCTCTTCTTAACGATGCTCTGGCCTACGTTAGTAGAACACCGCCATCTTTCGCCAAGAATGTGAAGCTCCCGGCGGCGACCGAAACCAACATCACTCGGTTTGCTGAAACAATCCTGCCTAGTCACATCAAGAAGTCATTCGAAGCGGATTTCGTTACTGTCAAGCCAACAATGTACGAGTACATCTACAAGCTGCGCCGCTGGAGGAACAAATTTGAGGAAAAGTTGGATCACCGAATACCTCGTGCTTTTCTTGAAAATTTTTCTCCACACCTAAGTGAATTTAGGTATGGCAAATTCGATGAGGTGGAGGTTCCAGGTCAATACCTGCAGCACAAGGACAAAAACCAAGACTTCATCCGCATCGATCGTTTCCTTCCAAACATCGATCTTGTCCGATCTATCAGCGCTTCTTACCGCCGTATTAAGATGCGTGGTCATGATGGTAGCATTCACAAATGGGCTATTCAGCACCCTGCAGCGCGACACTGCCGACGAGAGGAGCGCATTTTGCAGCTCTTCCGGTCGCTTAACCAAACACTGGGCCGCAAGAAGGAGAGTCGGCGTCGTGATTTGCAGTTCACGATACCAATCATGGTTCCCTTTGCACCTCATATCAGACTTGTGCAGGAAGATACATCCTACACTACACTACAGGGGGTATATGAGGATCATTGCCGAAACATGGGCATGTCAAAGGATGACCCTGTGCTATTCACTATGGAGAAGCTTCGCGGAGCCCTCGAAAGCAAGAGCTCTGTGAGTTGTCAAAGATACGAACATGGTTTCGCTGTTACTAACAATGAACAGAACAAGCCTGAGCAGGCAGCGACAGCTCGGTTGGAGGTATTCAACGCGATTCAGGAGAAGTGGGTGCCATCAACAGTGGCGATAGAATATTTCCAGAAGGTGTTCCCACAGTTTGCAGAGTTCTGGCTATTCCGCCGCCAGTTCTCGTACCAGCTTGCGGCGTTGACATTCATCACGTACATCATGTACATGCACAACCGATACCCACAGAAGATCAACATATCAAGGGCGACGGGTAAGGTTTGGGGGTCTGAAATGATGTCCTACATGAGCGCCAACAAACCCTTCTTCCACAACCCTGAACCGGTGCCATTCCGACTCACGCCTAACCTCCAAACTTTGATGGGACCACTTGCAACTGAAGGCATCTTTGCATGCTCGCTGATGGCCATTGCGCGATGCTTGACGGAGCCTGAATACGAACTGGAGCACGCCTTGACGCTTCTTGTGCGTGATGAGATGCTGTTCTGGTTTACTGGCAGCCACAGGAACGGAGTAATTACAGAGGGTCAACTTCGAGATTCTGTGCAGGTCAACAGTGAATCGATTGTCAAGCGGGCACTCAGCCTAGCGCACAGCCCTGTTGGCAACCTGCCTGCGAACCAGACAGTGATTGATGCCATCGCAAAGGCAGTCAATCCTATGAACCTGGCACAGTGCGATGCGCTGTGGATGCCATACCTGTAAAGAGAAGGCGAATATTTATACTTGGAGAAAAATGAGAATAGATGGATGCGCAGATGGCTGGCATGGTCTTGGGACTTTAAGCATGGCGTTGGCGGATTTTGAGAGAGCGCGCGCATCTTGTATGATGGTATAGGGAGGGCAGATATGACCCCAAAATGGTAAAGATGTAATATTCTAGCATTCAGGAGCAGTTTCTATCTTGCTATCAACTTTTTAGCAGCGGAGAGTTTGTAAATTCTACTGTACTTTGATTATGCAACTGTTCACTGGCATGATGATGGTGATTTGAATGTAAACACCAGCCAACCAAAGATGGTGATAGACTTACAGGGTTCCCCACAAGCCTCGGCTCGGAACAAGTCCTTAGTAGCTTACATTGTCATGCAGGTAGGTATAGACGAGATCGACAAAGTTTCACAACCTATCGCAGTCCAAGTTAGGCCGTAGCTGAAAGGACGAGTATGTATGTCGGGGACGGAACCCCGCACGATAGAGCACGGCGAGGCGTTGCCGCGTCGGACAAGTTACCTCGGACATTTATCCTAGAGTATTTAATGTAGTCTTTTGTAGTCACCGTAGTTCAATCCTTGGTCTTCACCTATAATTTGAGCTGATTCCGAGAAGAAACGTTTGCAAGACTGAAACACATATTATAATGGATCTAACAAAGACACCTCGAAAGGTCTGGGAACACCCCAATCCCAAGAGCACGGCGATGTGGGCATTTATGCAAGAGGCAAACAAATTACATGGACTAAATCTCAAGGTATGATGTAGATTTATATGTGAAAGAAACATGGCACAAGTAACTAACCCGCTTTAGACATTCAACGACTTATATGAATGGTCCGTCTCTAAGCGCAGCGACTTCTACGCTCAACTCTGGGCCTCTCAAAACTGGATCCACGAGGGTTCCTACTCATACGTCGTAGACGAATCGATCCCAATCACAAAGCTTCCCACTTGGTTCCCTGGTATTCGCATCAACTACGCCGAGAATCTCCTCTGGACAGGTGCTGCAGGCGGTGCACCAGGCGAGCGCTCAACGCTTCACAAAGAAGATGATACTATCGCTATCACAGAAGTCAGAGAGGGTAACTCGTCTGTGAAAAACGTTACTTGGGGAGAGTTGAGGAGAAGAGTGGGGAAGCTGGCGAGTGCATTGAAGCAGAGAGGTGTCAAGAAGGGAGATAGGATCGTCATGGTCGGTGCTCATGCTGTTGAGACACTTGTTGTGTTTCTAGCTACGACTTGGCTTGGGGGGCTATTCAGCAGTAGCTCTACTGATATGGGCGTTGGAGGGCTGTTGCAGAGGACTGTTCAGATTGACCCCAAGGTGAGCTCTTTGATATCACCAAGCTCATAGCAATGCTGACCTGAATAGTTTGTCTTCTTTGACGACGGTGCTCTTTATAATGGCAAAGTCATCGATCTTCGCGATAAGATCAAGGGAGTTGTTGAGGGAATGGAAGAATGCCCTTCTTTTCAAGGAGCAATCATTGTTCAGCGTTTCGACTCTCCTCACGATACTTCTCAAATCCCCAAGACGCAACGTCTCGAGTCTTTCCTATCCTCCGCACCCTCAACTCCACCACCCATCGAACGAGTTGGGTTTCAAGACCCAATGGTAGTCTACTATTCCTCTGGAACAACAGGAACACCAAAAGCCATCGTTCACGGCGTCGGTCCGATCCTCGTTTCAGTGGCTAAAGAGGCTATTCTTCATCGTGAAATCACTCCAAAGGATGTTGCATTGCAGTATACTACTACAGGCTGGATCATGTATCTTGCTAGCGTTACTCGACTTGCTTTTGGTGGACGGACTGTGTTTTATGATGGTTCGCCTTTTGTACCAGATCGTTCTGTTCTGTTACGGATCGTGGAGGAGCAGCGTGTTACGAATTTAGGAATTAGTCCAAGATGGTTGGGTGAACTTATGAAAGAAGGAATAGTTCCTCAGAAAGAGGCAGATCTGAGTAGTCTGACGGCTGTTCAGAGTACCGGAATGGTGTTGAAGGAGCAGGTCTTTGACTGGTTCTATGATGGAGCGTTTCCAACGAATATCAAGTTGGCTAACTTTTCAGGCGGTACAGATATTGTGAGTCTCCTGTTCAGTCTCTTCTTGCTATTGCTGATGTTACCAAGGCTGCCTGCTTTGTCATGGAGAATCCCCTATCTCCCATCTACGCTGGTGGATGCCCAGGACGAGTTGTTGGAACACCAATGGCAATTTATCCATCTTCTGCGGACCTCGACAAGCCGATCTCACCGGTTCCTGATGGTGAACCAGGAGACTTAGTCGGCACTGCAGCGTTCCCCAATGTCCCTCTCTATCTCTGGAACGATACAACACCGGCTCCAGGAAAGAAGTACACTTCAGCATATTTTGATCGATTCCCTAATGTGTGGTCACAAGGTGACTTTGCAGCAGTTCACCCGCAGACAGGCCATATTCATATTCTAGGCCGCTCAGATGGAGTTTTGAATCCAAGTGGGATTCGATTCGGAAGTGCGGACATCTACGCAGTGCTCGAGGGAAGCTTTGCAAAGGAGGTTGCTGAGAGTCTCTGCGTAGGCCAGCGTCGACCCCAGGACCATGATGAGAGCGTTGTTTTGTTCCTGTTGATGAAACCAGGAGTCAAGTTCAACGCTGAACTCGCTAGTAAGATTCGAGAAAGGATTGCCAAGGAGTTGACGAAGAGGCATGTGCCCAAGTATATCTTTGAGGTGCCCGATATTCCGGTGAGCACTACCGTCAAAACTGATGACATATGGTAGACTAACAATGTTCAGACAACTGTGAATGGCAAAAAGGTCGAACTTCCAGTCAAGCAGATCATCTCGGGCAGTAATATCAAACCAAGCGGGACGTTGTTGAACCCACAGAGCCTGGACTTTTTCTATCAGTTCCAGAAGATCGAAGAGATTGATCAAGTTAAAGCAAAATTGTAGAGATAGATACTAGATAAACATGGGGTATACAAAGACAATACAAGTTACAGATCCTCCTCCTTCTTGGGAAACTTGCCCCCATTCACACCAAATCTCCAAGCCATCCACGCCAAAGCTCCCCCCATACTTCCCAATCCTAGTCCTCCAACTGCACCTCTCCAACCCTTCAGAGCATTGGCCCCTATCAAAGCCCCAGCTCCAGCGCCTATAGCAGTCCAGTCATCAGTCTCAAGCTGACCTTGGTTCTCGAGTAATCTCCAACTTCGATCCTGCCACTCGACTTCTTCTCTTCCGCGCATACGGTTGATTGTCATGAAAGCTCCTACACCAACCGCTGCGACTGCGCCTGTTGATGCAGAGCGGATGAGGCGTGGGAAGAATGCTAACGTTGTGGTTTTGGGGCGGAGAAAGGGGACCAAGTGGCGTGTTGTTGTTATGCCCGTTGCGATGATTGAGCTTAGTGTTATCGCTCGCACGATAACGTGTGTTGTGAGTATTGTTCGTGCAAGAGGCTGATCCTCTGCGTAGGGAGTATGAGGAAAGAATCGTGACATTTTATTGTTGTTCTTGTTTATGATACTAATTCAGTATAAAGAGTGAAGAGTATAAGCTGACCTCCAATGCCTTGTTCTTATATACATTCTGCGCCGCGTCATATCATCAAGCCACTTCCATTTTCAGACGCCAAAAGCACTCGCTCTTCGTTCAGCTCCGTCTTTTCCATTGACCATGATTGCTTCAGGGATTCGATTGAATAAGCACCCCATTATTGGTTCCCCGATGCGACGCCCCGGATGGATTAACGTGCCGGTTACTCCACCAGAGCTTATTTTGCGGATATTATGCGAGATCCGAGTGCGAGATACAAATTCAGTGCTAATTGATTAGTGATATCACTTATACTTGAGTAGAATATCAAACATGACCGCTTCTCATACGGAGGAGACAGAATATTATGTTCATACACTCACTAACTCAAAACCATGTCGTGTTCCCCAATGCATATCATACCACCAACGCCTAGACCTATCCCAATCATATGATAATCTCCCCATCCCAATGCTATGCTTGCTATGCCTTCTGAGTCTACTCTCTGGTATCCTTATTCATCATCGCTCATCTCCATCATACTACCCTCCTTCTCAGGCGAACCGTCCTCGTCCTCCAAAACCGTCATTCGTCTCGTTCGTCTCAATCTCCCCTTACCCTTCTCCGGTCTCCCTGGTGTTTTTCGACTCCCGTTGACCTTGACGGCTGCATCATGCTTCCGTTGTCCCAACGTGCGCTCAAAGTCCAAGAGATCCTCAGCTTCAGACTCTGCCGCGCCATCAATCAATGCCGTCTCTTCTAGCGCTTTGTTCAATAACTCTGTTGCGATGCTGTCCTGAGGATTTATCGCCAGCGCTTCGTGGAGAACGACTACTGCCTCCTCAGACTTACTCTGTTCCATGAGAATCAGCCCTTTCGCGCTGAAGATGGCCGCATCCTTGCCACCCTGTCTTAGCACCTCGTCAAACTCGGCGAGCGCTCGATTAAAGTGCCTCAACCGTCTGAAAGCGTGTCCAAGATTTGTTCTCGCAGCCAACCAAGCCGAAGGGTCGCTATCCATATCATCAGCGATCTTAAGCGCTGCTGTAAAGTACTGCGCTGCCTCCTTGGGTTTATCTTGGTGGTATTTCACGATACCCATTTCATTCAAGAGTAAGGGGTCCGTTTTGCAAAGGCCATACGCTGTTTTCAAAAACTCCTCCGCAAGCGTCATGTTGTTGAGAGCGTGATTTTGCATGCCCAAAAACACTTGCGGCAAATGTGTTCCCATGAACAATCTCGCTGCCGTTGAGTAGGCCGAAATTGCTTGGTCGTGTTCGCCCTCGGCCGCAAAAGTGTGTGCAAATCCAATCCATGCCGGTCCAAAATGTGCGTCCATCATACTCGCTTTGCTGAAATATCGTCGTGCCTCGGGGATTTTGCCAATCGAAAAGTAGTAAATACCAACTGCGAGCCACGAACATGGTTCTTCAGGGTGACTATCAGCCAGGTCGTGGGCAATCAAGAAAAGAAGATTCTTTTCTTTCAGCTCAAACAAACAGGCCAGATGGACTGGGTACACGCTGAAGTTGTACTTGTCTTCCTGTAGGATCCCATTTGTGATATTCAGAGCGTCCCGGTACCGACATTGCGTATAGAGAAGATCTGCACGAGCAAGTTGTAGGTCTGGATTTGATGCAAGGTGGTAATGTGTCGAGAGAGAATCGTATGCTGTCTCAAAGGCTGCAGGATTGCGGTATTTGGACAGTCGCGTCGTGTAGAGCATCTTAGTAAAGTCGGCAGCCTGCTGAGAAGACGACACATCTCCAGAGACATGAATGGAATCAAAGTCCAAGCTCTCAAGGAACTGCCACTCTTCGTCAGGCGACAATAACGAATTGTTCATCAGTTGCTGGAACGCCTCAAAACACTGGACATCGATTCGCACAGCGTCTTTGTAACACTCCTTTGCGCGATCAAAAGCATTCTGTTTAGCGTAGCAGATGCCACGTAGAAAACACATAGCAGCTTCATATCTCCTATTGGCAGCCTCCTCCTCAGCAGCTGGATCGCGACGTCGTCCGTGGCGTGGCTGAGTCTTGCGCTTGTTACTCGCGCCATTGGCTATAAGATGCGTTGGGTTACGATCGCCGAGAATAGAAAGAGCTTCGTCGAAGCGGGACTGTTTTATCAGGCAGTGACCGGCGAGATAGCGACATGATGGGTTTCTGGCGATGAGGTCTTGGCTGGAGAGAAATGCTTGGGCGCGCGTGTAGTTTCCTGTCGCGAAGTGGACTTGGGCGAGCCAGAAGGCATCTTGATCGTCATCTATCGAGATATCATGTTAGACAATGGAAAAGAGATTTGTTTATATCAGTATATCACGAACTGGTCAGTGCAAGTAGCTTGTCGCCGATAAATATGGCCGACTCATATTGCGCCTTGTTGAGGGCATCTTGCCTCCATTCCCTCAAAAAATTCTCCATTCCTGATTTATTCGCAGTTCATTGAGTGCTGGGCCCAGTCGTCAGGTATTCGGTTTATCTGTGGCTCGGCGTGTAGCGATGTAGGGTTGGTCTGGAGATGGTTTGTTTGAAATAACGTCAATCAACATCCCACCAAAAGTCAACAATGACCTGGATCTAATCTCACCGCAAGCCCGCCCGGCCGTTGTTTGCGCCTCCACCAGAGCCTAGCGTGTGAAGGCCCTTCTGAGAAGCCACAGCGGGCGTGGCTCCAGCAACAGCGGGGTAGCTTATAGCGACCATTGCCTCTGTCAGAGGCGATAAAAAAAGTTGGCGGGGTTGAATTTGTAGCGTATCAGAAGCCATCAATTTGGCACTCGCCGATACAGGAGCCTGTCATGCAGTCAAGTTTTAAAAGTCTACAACTTCCCGAGAAACATTCAATTGGACGACTATACCAATCTACTCGCAGAAATGGCTTCTTCTCAACCTACCCGATGGGCTGCTCTCGCCCGTGATACAAACGAAACCAAGATTCAGCTTGCTCTTAACCTTGACGGCGGCGATTTTCCTCCGGACACTGACTCCCGTCTTCTCAATGATGGAGATAGCCATGCTTCTCAGGCCAGCAAGTCGCAAAAGATCGCTGTCAACACAGGAATTGGTTTCCTCGATCATATGCTTCATGCCCTAGCTAAGCATGCTGGATGGAGTCTTGCTCTGAACTGCAAGGGTGATCTTCACAGTTCGTTGCCCTTGAACCGCCGCCACCGAGGCATGTTAAATGACTGACTTGATATTTCTAGTTGATGACCACCACACTGCAGAAGATGTCTGCATCGCCCTTGGTTATGCCTTCGCTCAAGCTCTCGGCACTCCCGCTGGTCTCGCCCGTTTCGGCTACGCCTACGCTCCCCTTGACGAGGCCCTCTCTCGCGCAGTCATCGATCTTTCCAACCGTCCCTACAGTGTTGTTGACCTCGGTCTGAAGCGAGAGTGGCTTGGACAGCTCAGCACTGAGATGGTCCCTCATTGTCTCCAGAGCTTTGCCCAGGGTGCTCGTGTTACGCTGCACGTCCACTGTCTCCACGGTGACAACGACCACCATCGAGCCGAGAGTGCTTTCAAGGCTCTTGCTGTTGCTATCAAGGCTGCTACCACAAGGATACCTGGTAAAGAGGGTGAGGTGCCTAGCACCAAGGGTACTCTGAGTGCGTAAGGGAATAGTCGCTTTGGAGTTCCGGATAAATACTTGGTTTTGGTTAGAACTAGACCTACGATTGATAGGGATGCAGGAATCATATTTTGAGATTCAAGTGAATATATAATCTATGTCACGTAGCAGGTTTCCGGAAATATTTACAAGGCGTTGCATAGCATGTCTCCTTGAGGCCCAGCATACCGCATTCATTGCGCATTCATACAAGATATCGTGAAGATCATATCAAAATTCACAGGCCGGGTCATGTAGACCTGCAATACAGGCTATATTGTGGGTAAAATCGTCAACTCCTTCGGGGCAACCCTCAAGTTCGGTAGTCACCATTGATAGTGACATAGTCATGGCTGAAGTCGCAGGTATAGTGTACAGCAGACTTGTCGCCTGTACCTAACCTGACAACGATCTCGAGGTCTTCCATAGCGAGAATCTCCGATGCTCGCTTCTCGTCGACCTGCTCGGGCTCGCCGTCCACGAGCAGCTTCAGCTCAGCTGAGCCATCGGTAGGGACGAAGGAGACATTGGTGCGCTCGGGAGTGATCTCAGGAACGTCATTCACAGGTTGACCAGGAGGCGAAATGAGAGCATATCCGGTGGCGCAAAGGACACGGCCCCAGTTGGCATCCTTTCCGTACAGAGCAGTCTTAACGAGGGGGGACTTGGCGATCGATCGACCAATCTCACGGGCTGCCTCCTCAGAAGCACTGTCGACAACACGGATAGTAACAAACTTGGTAGCACCCTCACCGTCTCGGACGACATACTTGGCCAAGTCAATAGAGAACTCGGTGAGGAGCTCCTGGAAGGCTTTGTAGTCTGGAGACTGCTCAGAAGTGACCTCCTTTCCGCCAGCGGCACCGTTAGCAAGAAGAGCAACAGTATCATTGGTGGAAGTGTCACCATCAATGGTGATGGAGTTGAACGATCGGTCCACCGCATGTCGAAGAACATTAGGCATGACCGCAGGGGAGATAGGAGCATCAGTAGCCAGGATGGTAAGAAGAGTCGCCATGTTGGGGGCAATCATGCCTGCACCCTTTGTCATACCAGCAATGCGATACTCAACACCTGGAGAAGAAGGAAGCTCAAAGGATCGAGACATGAGCTTAGGGAAAGTATCTGTGGTACAGATGGCCTTTGCACAATCAAGCCAGTTCTCGTGAGAACTGCCAGCCTTGCTAACAGCCGTAGGGATCTTATCGAGAATCTTCTGAATTGGCAGCCTGGATTAATTGTGAGCCATTGAAAGATCAAATTCAGCCAATTGAAGAAACTAACCTTTGGCCAATGACTCCAGTGCTCATCACAATAGTAGAGTCCTCATCACCAACCCTCTGATCTGTTGTGCGGGCCATACTGGTAGCATCTTCAAGACCTCCGGTGCCGGTGACAGCATTCGCATTACCAGAATTGACAACCACACTTCGCAGGCCCGCGTTCTTCTTCTGCTGCAAAAGCTTCCTGCTATAGGTCACAGGAGCAGCCTGGAACTTGTTCTTTGTGAAGACACCAGCGGCGGCGCAGGGACGATCAGAAGTGACGAGGGCGATGTCGGGCTTGCTGGTATTGCCAGGCTTGACGCCAGCCAAAACACCTGAAGCGATAAAGCCTTTGGGGTATTTTCCCGAAGTAGGAATGTACTGAATCTTTGAAGGGGGAACAGGGTTTGAGCCAAGAGTGGCTGACGCCGAAGAGTAGGCACGAGCAAATTTCTTCATCATCTTGGCGACGGAGGATTGTATTGTTGATGCTGTACCTACCTAGGAGGGAGTTGATGGAATTTTCGCGGGGGGTTGATATAGAACTGTAAGCTACCTAGTGCGGTATCGCAGCGATCAGTACGGATAGCTGGAAGGATTCAAAAGACTCCATTGACTCATCTATGACCAGCTCTTATATTATTTAATTTCTCCTTAAGTTTCCATATATCAAAGGAATAACATATTAAGATATTTCAAGAATCGACGGATCATAAGAACATCTCATTATCTTGGCTATTGAAATGAGAGTCCGACTGAGGTGAGCTTACTTGGTAGTGGTGTTATATGAGTACTTGGTATGGATGTCATGGAGAAAATCAGCCACCGATAGAGTACATACTCTCAAAAACCCAAATGCAGGAATTCCTTTATGGATCGGGAGAGCCTGTGAAAGCAAGGGAACTTGTAGGTAGTCGAAAAATCGTTTAATCAGCATCCACTGCCAAGTGAGTCCATACAAACCGCTAGAAGCAAGAAAGCGTCGGACTCGAGAAGAGGATGCGAAATTAACTTAAATTATTTCCTTCATGTTTCAGGGCCTAAGTTTTATGGCTCCCTTGTCTCGTAGACAGGACAACCAGAAAGAAGCTTTGTTCATAACAGGAATCCTTTCTTGATCGCAGGTCTTCCTGGAGCACTAAACCTTGCCCTGTGTCTTTTTGATATCCAAAATCATCGCCACGAGCGAATGCTAAGCTGAAGAAAGTTCAGGTAACTCGAGGAAACAAAGCCGAATGTTCAAAGGAACAAACCATAAAGTTGGGACTGCCAGTCTCATGCCAAGAAGGTTCACACAGCTGAGCAAATGCAGCCAAGTTATGGTTTAAAAAAAAAAAAAAAAAAA